GCGTATAAAGCACTCACTGCACAGCGTTTAATATAGGATGACCTAGATGCACGTCATTATGTTTGAATCCAGTTAACTAGAAGCGGTGTATAGCCATCTTATAGTACAGAAAATAATGTGAACCAAGGTTTGAATCTAGGTATCTCGATCTCACTCACAACTACGGATTTCCTATGTTTGCCTTTCACGTGTCTCCCTTGCCGCCCCCCCGAGAAATGTAACAAATTAATGATATGTATTTTGTATCTAAAAATTCGATTCTGCCAAAGCCTGTTTGATCATTTATACATTGGATGAAAATTTATCGGAGTCTGCTTCCAAAAAACACATAAACATATGCAATAGAAACTTCTAAGATATTTCGCTCTAAAGTTCGCTCTAAAATACGTCTCTTGTAGCCATTTTTGGCTGCGTCAAACGCTATAGACTGAAAACACGATTTACATACGAAGCCCGCACAAAGGAGCATACTAATCATATTATCAGCTACTAGATTAGCGGTAGGAAGATATAAAGGGTCCATTGTAGTTGCGGCGGCAGTTGGCGGAAGGCCCCCCTCCCCCGCCGCAGGAAATGGCGGCGGAGAGCGGAGACAGCCACGTCCGGAGAGGTGAAGCCGACGGTAGTGGGTTCAGTCGACACCCGGCCATTGTTCAGTAAGCACCTATCTGCGACACACTTTTCGGAGTCTAGAGATGCGACCGTTATGTAATTTTTATCGATGGTTTTCAGCGAATCTGTTTCACAAATAATATTTTTTCTCTGTTGTTCATTTCTGGTACCAGCGCGATAGACTTCTTTTTGGTTTTGACGTAGGAGAGGAACGAATGTAGGGTGCCATAGGTACCTAAGCGGAAAAAATATGGTCAGTTATTGACATTGACCTGTAGAAAGCATGGTAGATTGTAACAATAGTGAATGTTAAACAATTTATTGTTTCACAAGCCGAAGCCAACTAATTACAGTAATAAGAATCTTTTCATGGTAAATTTCTAGCAAAAAATAGAACAAAATTTTAATAGACAGTTGAGCTCCAATTTAAAGAGTTCGTCTAATAGACAGTTGAGCTCCATTTCACAGAGTTCGTTCAGGAAAGTACTGCCACTTTATTTATTTCTGCGGCCAAGTAGTAATATGAGCATTATTGTGTTCCGGTTTTGAAGGGGTCCTGGTGAAATTACAGGGGACTTATCAATTTATGTAGCAGTTCTACTCAGTGTTTTAAGTCACAGAGATCTGAGTGACACTGCTACTGTGTCCGTCACCCTGAGTAACGTAAGTTGACAAGTCACATGTGCCTGTAATTTCACCAGCACTAATAATAGAATGATCACATTACAGCTTCTCGGCAGAAATAGATAAGGTGGCAGTACTTCCTTCGATAAACTCTTTTATTAGGATCTAATACTGCTACTAAAAAAAGTATTTTCTTTCTTCTTTCTTTATTATCTACTAGCTCGTGAGAATACATAAAAATTGTCTATTTGTTCACGATTAAATTAACACTGAGTAAAAGAAAAAGCTTAAAAGCTTTACAGGTTATGGATAAAACAACGACACTGATTATAAAGGTGGTAAATATTTACGTAAGGTCCTGTGTGAGAAGCCCTCGGGGCGGGCGAAATTTCTCGTACTTGATGCGTTTTGTAAACACGTTTTGCATTATGTTGTAACTTACAGAGACAATGATATAATTGTAGATGTTAGTCTAAGCACAGTTATAGTTCTCATTCTGTACGGTAGCACTTATGTACTATGATAATAAATAAAAATAATGCGTTTTTAAACTACGTCAATGACCTGGTGTCAAATTAGGGATTATTCGCTAAACAATCCTTGTGCCAGAGCAATGAAATTAGCTCTGAACTTATTGTTTCCGATATTGGCTCTATCGGGAATCGAACCCGGACGTTCGCTACAATTCGATACGCTGTGTCACTGTGGTCGTCACAATCCACTCATCGTACATTGCAGTGGAGATAATAGAAGCTCCCGTCCCCCATCCTTTTTTTATTAGGTTCGACACTCACAGAATTTTGTTTCTTTTTTTTGTCTGTTTCTAAACAGTAATAGCAAAAATCCACAGTAAAAGATAAAAGGTCCCAAATATCATATAAAATTTTTGGACCCGAAGATCTATTATTGTGTATTTTGTGCTATGGACACACACAGGCAACCACAAATTACACCCAAAGTCACGAGAGAAATAAATGTAGGTCATACAAACTTTTATCCCTGCCCGGAATCGAACCCGGGACCTCTGCGTGGCAGTCCAGCGTGGTAACTGTTCAGCCACAGAGGCAGTTAATATACAAATTTTACCAAAGTAAACGTAGCTGAGAAGAAGCGAAGAAGGTGACGTTGGTACGAATTGTCAACCAGCGGAAGGTTGCCTATTTGGGTCATGTACTGCGATATGACAGATTTCATCTAATGCACACCATAATGATGGGCAAAGTAGCTGGGAAGTGGAAGGTTCCAAGAAGGAAACTGTATGGCTATCGTAACATCAGGGAGTGGATCGACATCAATACCGTGAAACAACTGTTCAGGGTAGCTCTGGATTAAGAAGAATAAATATGTAGCGGACTTAGTAGCAGTAGAGTTCCTTGTGAAAGAGTAAATCCAGGGAAGTACTGCCACCTTACCTATTTCTGCTGCCAAGCAGTAATGTCAGCATTACTGTGTTCTGGTTTTGAAGTGTAAGGGTGCTGGTGAAATTAAAGGCACAGGGGACTTGTCAACTTATGTCTCAGGGTGACGGATGCAGTGGCAGTGCCCCTCAGATCTTTGCGATATAAAGCTCTGAGTAGAACTGCAACTGTTATGGACAGGCGTGTGGCTTGCCATCAGGCGCTCGACTTGGTCGTCCCGTCACTTGATATTGTTAAATAAAAATTGTATAAATGAGGTTCGGGTGGGCGCTATTGAGGACCATTCGTTAATAGCACCACCAAAAGAACAAAGGAAAGGACAATGATGACAATATATAGTTACTACGAAAACAGAAACAATGACAAAGAATAGGCGCCAAAAACAAGTACATTTAAATTTAGAATTTCAATATAAAACTAAATTCTTGAAAATAATATATATGTAAAAAAAGATTTGTAGCGATTGCTGCGATTCACTTCAATATATTTTTTCTTTCTGTATCGATATTGCAAGGGCAACTCTAAGGGAAATTTGTGTTATTGGCTACCCCCGGCGCATTGACTAAGGAACAGCGAGGAGTAGCGTTTTATTCCTAAGGCTAATCTGACCCACTTCAATGACAGGCCTCAATTACACCAGAGATCCACTCACATGAATGAGCATTTATGACTATGATCTAGATCAATTTAGCGTGCTGTTTTTAAATGGAACAATGCAGATATCTCAAATTTTCACGCTTCACGCTCAAGCGCGATGTCTGTCCATTTTCATACTTTGAAGGATATAAAACCTAAATAATGTATACACATGATAAGTCTAAAAAACGTTTTATGATAGTTGGACGAACAATTTTGACTTGAAATATTCGTTGAATTTTTCGACATAAAAATTTGTCGTCGCTGCTACACGTAATTCGGTAAAAGTCTAAAATATTACGACTTGGACCGCAGAAGATTACACATTTGGCATATTTAGTCAAGTACACAATAATAAACTAAATACGACTTCAGTAATTTCGACAAGAGTGCCATCTTTCTAAAGTTGCGTGTTCCACTGCTAAGCCAAACGATGCTAACTTGCAGGCGCCCTCTGGCTCAATTATGCCGAACTACATCCCCCTATAGCCAAATAACACCCTTGCAATGCACTCGTCACAACATGCCGCGTAGTAAAACCGATGGAGCCACAGGGAAAGTAAACATTTTGACGGGGCGTTTGGCACCCTCAATAATAAACTGACGCAAATCGAAAAGTCATTTTTGGGAAAGTGGCAAAATAGATTTAAAAAAATAACTGTCATTAAACTAGTTCTATAAAATAAATTCCCGGCGTGAAGTGAGCGCGACAGCTTCGCCACCAATGAGAAGATTTGGTAGTGGACTCAGAGTCGACGGCTTAGCAGTGGCAACCGATAGTTGTGCAATACGCAACGGGAAGTGAGCGTGCCTACAGCTCCGGTGCCTATCTAGGTAATAGAGAGGGTACTGTACATGCACCCGGGGTCCATGCATGCTGATCTGGAGTCAGAATCTGAAGTTGTAAGGTTCCTGTGGGCGCACAGGTTATAGTGCCCTTCTCGTATACCCTAAGGGTCGGTAGGGAGGGTCTCTATAATCCAAATTAATGTAGAAAGATATGGGGCTGGTCCTATAAAGGACGAAATTCTAAAAAACTACAAATTAATTTTATTTTGTACTTTAGTTCGTCAATGTCACTATTTCGAATTACGCCATTTTATTATTGATGGTGCGATATATATTTTAGACAGGTGAGGTTGAAGTTCACTGATCAGTAACCAGCTCGATTTCAGAAAATTTTGATTTAATGCCATAGGCTTAAAGTTTTCTATAACCTGGATATCCGTCCAGGAGCGGAATGTCGAAACTACATTGATGTTTAGGGATGATAAAAAAAACGCTTTTATGACAACACAGGTGGTGCTGATCTAGAGCTCGTCTACCTTGACACTTTGGATATTAGACCGTTCATTCTTCTCGCAAACGGAGAGTTATTGACGTGCTGTTGACCTGCTCGGCGATCGGAAATATCCCACCATTAAGTATATACCACGGTCACAGTGTACAACAGTTATATCCAATTAATACTACGCCAGTAATTTTTGGACCCGTTCTGTTGTAATTTCTATTTCTAAAATTAGTTTTTTGTTTTTTCCAATTTTGTTTTTTGTTTCTTTTTTTTACAAAATTCGGTGAGCATTATATTAGTCAATAAACATGGATGTGTACAAAAGTAACAGAAATAAATAAACGAATAAAGATGACGTAGCAGATTTATAAAAAAAATCGTATAAATAACAGAAATTTATTGAACTTTCTAACAGGGTGTTTTTATTTCTTTTTTTTCTTTTTGTTCTTTTCGTCTAACTTCAATTTCATTTCTAGTTGTACCGCCAGCAACTCAATATATTCATTGAATATTGATCCGAACTTTGAGTAAGATTTGTACCAGGTATTGAAAAATTCGTAGTCAAACGGCTCTGTACATATAGCATCGTTATCATTTAGAACAGCATCAATAATTTCCATAGGATTCAGGGGCTTAAAACCTAACTGCGCGATTCTGCTACTATTTAAAACTGTCGCTACACCCTGCTTTATAGACTTGATATCATACCCCCGCAACGTCTGAGCTAAACTGTGCACGTTGAAGTCTCGATTCACTCCATGATACTTCATAACAAGTTTTTGTAAAATATACACCAGGCTTCCGTAATCTGTATTTGGAAGTAATATTACATTCGGGAAAACTTTGGACATAGGGCCATTTTTGGCGTTCCACGGCTCCGTTGCTGTGCCTATAATTAATAGTTTATCCGGAGGTTTAATAGGTTTTATTATTTCTTTAAAGAAATCGCTTGAAAGTCGTGTTGGATCAAACATTTTTTCTTCTTTGGGAACTTTCTTGTAAAAAAGTTTATCAGCGTTATCCACCATGATAATAGTGGGTTGCATTAATCGAGCGACTTTGTTTACTAATGCAAACATTTGCTTCATACCCTTGGGCCCTGGAAATTTGTTGTAAACATTCATGGGTGAAAGGTCCATTAAGATGGAGTTTGTTTCTGTAGCGACAGCGTATATTAGAGTTTTTTTACCGGAATATTTAGGGCCGGCTAATAAATGTGCTCTAGGTACACCTTGACACTCAGACCCTATTGTCAGCAGACAACGAACCCTTACAAGTTGTTGTACATCGCCAATGCAAGGCGGGGAAAACCTTGGCGTATACATTATTGCCCTTGTAACAGCGGCTGCATAGTTTTGATCTCCCCAGTATTCTTTGAGGGTCACTTTGGGATATTTTATTACAATCCCTGCATCTACCAACTTTTGAAATAGTTCCTCTGGCGTACTTTTTTCTGGTTTAACCTTTTTTGGTTTTTTAGGCTTCTTTCTTTTTCTTACTAACGGCATTTTTTCGCCTATTAAATCAAGATCACACTTGAGAGCAGCTCGTAATTTGCTTAACTCCATCATCATCATTTCATCAACGATTGGTCGCAATTCATACTGAATTTCCTGTTGTACATTTTCCGTTATAAGCCGCATAATATGGCCCTTGATAGCATCTAAAGGCGCGTAACGTGAATCAATATCTTGCCATGTATTATTGTACAATTTCCAAGATTCTTGAAGTGGGTCCGATGCCTTTCCAATTCTGTAGTAAATACCTGGGTCAGTTTCAGGATTCGGGCGCATCTTTTTGTAAGCCATAATACGTTTATCCTCTCTTGCCTTTGCATCTGCTGCTGCCTTTCTTTTTTCTTCTTTTGCTGCTTTCTTTTCAGCTTTTATATCTTCAGGAGTTTTTGGATTCTGTTCGAGTAGCTTTTGCCTTTTTTGTTCCACCTCCACCCAAACTAAATATTCTTCTACAGTGAAAGTTTCTCCTCTCACTATTAAAATGGACCCCCCCTCAAGTGGCCAAGGATATTCATCGAAAGCACGAGCACCTTTGTACCACTCAAGCATCCAAGCTCTAATTTCATCAGATATGTCCTCCATAATATCGTGTTGCCGTAACCTAAATATTCGTGATTTTTCCTTAACATGCGCTTCTAGCCAGTTTTTAAAGTATTCACGCCTGTACTCTCGCCTTTTTTCTTTGACTTTTTCTAGTTGAATTTTTTGAGATGGAGGTGCCCACGAAGTCATTATCATTCCAAGCTTCGCTCTTAAGTGGTAGTCTCTAAGGTGATCACGCTTCAGTTTCATGAATTGTCGATATGACTGTTTAATTACTGCTGCGGCTCTCTGTTTCAAATGATCGTTAGCTTCTGGCGTCGCAAGCCCAGCCAGTAGTAGGTACTGCATGAAATCTTTGTTTTTTTTTTGAGTATTCTCTTGAATAACCTTACGCGTTCTTATCATACGTTGCAAATTCATTATATGTGCATTAAATTCAGCTAGACGGCTCATTTCTGCCAATTCTGCAGCTGTGTATTTGACTGAAGCTATCGATTCTGGAATATCTTCACCCATTGCCAATTTTCTCTTTATTTCTGCCTCTTTCTCTTCCTCTTTGATCCTTAACATTTCCAACTCTTCTTCTTTGCGACGCTCTAGCTCTGAAGGTGTTGGCTCGGGATCACCAAGACGATTACCAGCTAATATTTCATCTACTACGTACTGTAGCTCTGCGCTTCTAATTTCAAATGGATAAAAAAAGGGACACATAATTTCAATATTATCAGGTACCATAAGCATTTGTTGTAAAGCATTGTCCGCATATGTATATTCCAAACATTCCACTTCTTCTAACATAGATTTATACTCTATTATGCGGCATGTTAGTGCGTCTATAAATTTTTTCAAGTATTCTGATCTTTGGGGCTGTAATGTCTGGTCGTAGATATCGCACAGTTTATTATAAAGTTCGCAAGACTTGCCGTAAAGCCTAGCAAGAAGTTCTACTGCTGTTGATTGTGGTTTAACTCCAACATAAGTGTTTGCGAACGTCTGGATTTGTTCATCGTCTGCTACACACTTTTGCAAGTCTTCTTTGATGCGCAGCCAAGCTTGATAGTAATCTATAGTGCTCATTGTACCAGGGAAATTGTACTTTGAAATTTAAGAGATTATCACCATTACTAGGAAATACAGAGGGCTAATGACAGGAACTCAACACATAGTAAAAACAAATTAATTTGTTTCAAAAATATTTACACATTACATTTCTTATATATAGGAAATACAAATCATTATTTCCAAAGATGACGTGTTCCCACCTCTAGTGAAAATGAAAAATTTATTAAGTTGTTGTTTTTTTCCATGCTTTCCGTAAAGAAACAGGCAAAGGCTTGACACCATACAGCCAAGTCTTGGTAATTTTTTTTATTAAAAATTGAGATTCTATGTCTATGCCAATAGTCCATCCTTCAATTCCAATAGTCACGAAAAGTCGTCAAAGAGAATTTTGTTTTCATAGATACTTTAATAGTCTTGTTACAAGTTTCCAATTCAAGGTTAGCTCCAATATTGAAACTTGCAATAATTGTGCTACAAAGTACGTCTTCGAAATGTGACTTAGAAACGTTAATAGAATGGAAAGAAACGTTACAATTTTCCATTCCTGGTATTAGAATGAAGTTATAGGGCGATTTATATGTTGTCCTCGATTTTACAATGTTACATAATCTATTATTTGAGATTAAATTGTGACACTCCTTAAATGTTAAGAAGAATAGTGTTTTTTTTTAATTCGAGATATAAGCCTAAAGTGGCTGTTTTTGATAGTCATCGTAACAATTCATATAAGTGGCAATGTATACATACGCCTTTAAAATAAGATTCCGGTTGATTATAGAAATTCATTTCATTATGTAAGTTAAAAATATAATGACACAACAGCTTTAGTACGAAATGTACTTACTTAAATAAAAGAAAAATAAATATACAGATAATTAAAATATGTTTTATACACGATTGAGTTCCGGTTTTAAAATCAAATAATGTGTAAAAATCTACTAGTGTACTATCTAGTGTACTTGGATGAAAAAAATCCGTGACAGTGACCCGTCTCATACAGGGAGTCTTGTTCTGTCATTGGATTTGGTCATTTGAAGTAAATACTGTTGCCAACATTGACTTACAAATAAATGGACGACGGTTCTAATACAAAAACCACGACAAAAATGTCCCAAGTCAATCTATTTGAACGTAGTGACATGTAAAGGAATATGAAAAAGCTTTTAAATTGTAATGTCATCGCAGTACTGTCTAATTTTGCTTGCTTCGCTGTCAGTCGAACAAACGAAGACTAAAGCGTGAATGACGCTCTGTATACCATTTTAACGCTCTAAAAGTTCGGACACTTTTTAGCGCGGACACGACGTCCATATAATTGAAGGTCAATGGTTGCCAAACAAATTTATTTATCTACACACATATCATAAACCCTCTATGATGTGTTCAAAAACCGCAAATTACGACCAGCTTAAAGATAAACTGTTTTGTTAGAACAAATTTCTTATCTGTGAAAATGTTATTATGGCTAATAACATCGAATTCGAAATTTATTATTACATTCAAATTTCGAACATCTCTGAAAAACAAAACAATTTGATTCGACCCATCGAGTATATAACCAGAAATAGAGACGAAATGTCATTTAATTTGTTTGAAAACTATTCTGCCATATCATTACGCGCTCCGATTGGCTAGCCCGAGTTCGAAACAATTGACGGGTGTCGTCAACTGTTGCACTTCAAATCGACCAGTTAACTTGAGCTTTGCTATAATGGACGAAAATTGCAGAATTATATTTAATATTTAATTATCGATGAAATGTGATTCCGTTTGTTTCGTAATTAGATGTTTTGCTGTTGTTCCCACACCACCGAATAGAACAACACGGCATTGTTAGAGATATTATCTTTATTACAATAAATACAGAATATTTTTTGGAATATACGGAGACGTACACACAGGTCAGTAGTTGGCCTGTCTGTATTTCAGTACAAACGAGAGTTGATATTTATAAGAGCTGTATCGCTAAAGTGTTACCAGGAATATATGGCCCTTATTTCGTCTCTATTTCTGGTTATATACTCGATGATTAGGGTTAACCACGGAGTATATAGAAACGGCATTTAAAACAATTTCTTCTAGAACTAGCGTAGATAGACCCCCACTCGTTTTTTAACGCCTTTCATTATGTAGCAGTCACATAAACCATTATAGCAACCACGAGAGTTTCTTAGTTATTCTTCTTGGAGAATCTGATTTATAAAGGGCGGGCCCTTTTTTGTTTGTTTGAAGAAACAACAATTATACCTGTTGTATTAAAAAACCGACCTCAAAAAATTGCTTATCGACTTTTTTAACGGAAGTTTATTGGAGTCGGTTAACGGAAAGTGCGTGAAACCGGACGCATCCCCTAGTTTGCCACCCTTAGAGGTGGAATATTTTCTTTCAAATTTAAATGGAATCAATGCCGAGTTACGCTCTTTCGAACATAAAAGAATCACCAAAATCGGTTCACAATCGTGTAATACACTCACAAAAAAAATACAGTCTAATTGAGAACCTACTCCTTTTTTAAAATCGGTTGAAAATAGTTTAGTGTCCTATGTGTAACAATTGCGAAAACCGAACAACTCTAAAAGGAAACTTAGCTTTTTTTAGTTTCAAGAAAACCGATGAGAAAATATTGAGAATGGTAAACGAGGAAAGAACGATCCTGCGTACTATAGAGCATAAACGCGGGAAAATTATTGGACATTTGATACGTCTTTTTCTTCTTTTGGAGGGAACGATCGAGGGGACCTAGAACCATAGGGGAGACCTAGGCTCGCTTACATAGACAAATAAAGGAAAAGGCCGGTGTCGCGTTGTAAAACGAGGTCAAGGAGCTGGCTTATAGGAGAGATGATTGGAAGATGCTTCACCGATAAGAGTATAAGTCTTAAGTTTGATAGATAGATAGTGTTGTGACCAATGAATCGCCTAATATAATTGAGTCGATTTAATTTCACTTAAAACATATTGATTTTTTGAGTCACCTTATTGATGTCTGCCGCCAAGCAATAATGTCAGCATTACTGTGTTCCGGTTTTGAAGGGTAAGGGTGATAGTGACACATGGAACTTGTCAACTTAAGTCTCAGGGTGACGAGCGCAGTGGTAGTACCACTCAGATGTTTTGTAATTTAAAGCTCTGAGTGGCACTGCAACTGTTACAGACAGGCGTGTAGCTTACCATGATGTTGTAAAAAAAATTAAAAAAGATGATTTTGGCTCATCTTTCGATGACAGTGAATAGAAATTTAAACTATGAAGTCTTTTTTGTTTTTCTTCAGAAGTTTACTATTTAACTACAGGTTGTCCTTGTGAACTCTATTAAGGTAACTACACAACACCAACAACTACAGGTTGTTGTTGTGATCATTTAAAATACTTACTTATTGTTTAGACTAAACTCCATATTGTTTAAAAAAATGAACTAAAAACCAATGACCCAAAAAACGCCTAAGAAGAACAAGGCCTGAAAAATAATCTAAACGATCACAGAGTCCATTGACTTACAAACAGAGTCATAAAATTTTGAATCGATTACTCGTAAGAAAAATGTTTTAATATGGTTACCGATATATTTGATCCGCATCTCACGTCGCGACGACAAGTGTCAAAATGTGCCACTTACGTTGTGACGACTATAAATTGACTCATTCAATTATTGTATTCGCTACTAAAGTGCACATTTAACACAGATTTTGCCGTGCTGTTCGACAGCTTATTATATTATATAATTCAAATAATTAAAGTGGCGTAGTACGTAAATTTCGAAAACATAAGGGGCATTGTCAACAAAGGATCTCCCTTGCTGGTTACAATAAAAATGTTTTAAGTGCGCCTCCGTACGTTCCATTGAGTCGTTGAATCGACTCCGACGCACGCTCAGAGCGCATATCCGGACAGTGACGCGTGCCGGCCGCTATAGCTACCATGGGCATGGAGTTGAGCTATTTTGCAATTACAAGCGGTAGCGGGAGCGGAAATCTGTTGTGGAGAGACGTGTTGTTTATTATAACACGCGACTTGTTCGTCCCCTTACTTGGTACATCAATTTTAGATTATTATTCGCTCTTCTATTTCCATTATACACGTATTGAACACAATGATTTAAACATAGTTGTGTATAACTGCCTCAGTTGCCGAACGGGTACCATCGGGTACGTCTGTCACGCAGACTTCTGAGTTTGGGTGTCATTTGTCTATATGTCTGTCCATGGCACCCGCGATATAGGGTTTCCCTAGTGCGGGGCCGTGAGTGTTTGCGTTGTTATAATTGAGTTCAAAGATTAAAAAGAAAATTGTCTGTGATTAGTTCATCATCATCACCAGCTTACGCGCATCCACTGCTGGACATAAGCCTCTCCTTGAGCACGCCAACTCTCCCGGTCTTGTGCCGCCCACTTAAGTTTATGATTTTATGTACTAAGGTAACTTTAGTTCTCTGACGTATGATCTCTTTAAGGATTCGGTCCATCAGAGAAACCCCAAGCATATGATTGGTTAGAACAGACAAAAGTATTTTTTTAATTTTAATTTTAATTGTAACGGTCATTGACTTACAAATAAATGGACGACGGGTCTAATACAAAAACCACGAAAAAAATGTCCCAAGTCAACCTATTCCAAATTTAAATTGTAATGTCATCGCAGTATCGCGCTGTCAATAGAATAAATGAAGACTAAAGCGGAGTTTGGCGCTCTGTATACGATTTTAGCGCCTTACAAGTGCGGAAACTTTTTAGCGCGGACCCGACGTCCATATAATTGTAAGTCAATGGTAAAGGTACACAAACATAATGTAATCATCACATGGTAACTGATACAATTTGATACATTCATAGGCTAGACCACATTTCAAAAGCAGTGTACACAGCATGATAAAATTAGTCTTAGGGTCGTATTCTAGATCTCTTCAATGCTCAAGTCAGGATTTGAGTATGGTTTAAAGCACTCGAAATCATACTTAAGTCCCTGCCATTAGGGTCGTATCTCCAGTGCTTGAAATCATACTCAGATCCTGACTTGAGCATTGAGTAGAGTTCTGGAATACGACACTTAGTCACATACCAAGTGGTTTTAGTATTAGGTT